AATCAGAGTCAGACTTTGACAATTTCCAGTTGTGCAACTCTGAGACTACCTCTTAGTTTGATTCCTCGTCTGTAAGTTTATGGAGAGATTATGAAAAGAGGCGCTCAGGAGTAGGGGTGAGACCTTATAAAGGGATCACAAAGTGAGACGGACTCAATGAGTTTGGGAGAGATGAGTCTTCTATGCTTAAAGGTAAGAGATAACCTGAGCTCTCCTTGCCAGCTAGGAAATGCTATGTAGTCTGAAAAACATGCTTTGCTCTTTATATTTGTACTTGCCTATTGTATGGACTTTACCTGACTTTATAGAACACGTTCCTTGGATCTGAACGTGACTTTGGCTAATCTACTCCCTAATTTTACAGATAAGACTAAAGACCAAAGAGGGAAAGTGATCTCTCCAAAGTCACAAAATAATTGGTAGCGCTAAATAAGAATCTAAGCCTGTAACTGCAGAGACGGAAGAGCTTTCTACTACACTCCTGGGAAAGAGATCCTAAGGTACTGTGGCTTTATAGCCATCTTTTCCCTTTTAAACACTCATCCGTTTTCCTCCCTCAGTTGTAGCCCTCACACTGTATTGTAATTGCCTTTTCACTTGTCTTTGTCTCTACGATAAGGTCACCTTCTAAGAGGCAGGGACTGTGTTTTAATTGCTTATTCTGTATTCCCAATAACCAGTACAAGCCCAGGATGTAGTTGATGTAAGTTAATAACAACACAGTCTGTTAAGCACATTATATACCAGGCATGTTACGTTATAACATGAATTATAATAATTCACAATGACTCCATTTTACAGATAAAGAAACCAAGATTTAGGGAGGTTAAGTAGCTTTCTAAAAATCACAATGAATAAGTAAAAGAACCAAGATTTGAACCCAGGCAGTCTGGATGTTGAGCCGCCACCGCTCCCCCCCCCCCCATAGTTACTACCCTGGGCCACTTCAAGGAAGTGAATGTGTACCAAAACAGTGACTGGCAAAGGCCTTAGGTAATCTGAGATTCAGAAACTAATGTATTTAATTTTCCCCCTCCAGATCTTTGTACATTATCTTGTGGGAGGAAAATGCCTAAAGTCAAAAGAAGCAGGAAAGCTCCCCCAGATGGCTGGGAGTTGATTGAGCCAACACTGGATGAATTAGATCAAAAGATGAGAGAAGGTGAGTTGGGTGCTTCTGTGGTGGGCTGACAGAAGGTTGTGGGCTTAGGTACCTCTGGGGCCAAGCACAAATTCAGTATAACAGCATAACATTGGCATGCTTTGTGTATTAACTCAGAATGCTGAAAGTGCTGGAAATAACATTGATGAAATTTCCTCGAAAAAGTTGTTTTAACCAATGTGAATACAAAGCTTGAGGGAATATAGGTCAAATAATCTTTCTATTTACTATTTTGGTTGTGTATTTAAAATCATATAAAGTATAGTTACTTGAAAATGCTACTCTTTAGGAAACGATCTTTACTCACTTTCTTGTGACCTGGGTCTTTGACACTATTTTCTTCATCAGTCTTTCTGTCATCTGGGAGTTTCCTTGTTCTTCCCTCTGTGTGATCTTGCACTTTGTGAACCCATGTAATATGTCATCTTTGAAGTTTTTATCTGAAGCCACAAGTCTGGATTACCATTTAAAGCAACTGTTTTTGTGGTGCTGAGATGACATCTAGGATTTTATACATACTACAGAAGTGCTCTACCACTGTCCCCAACCCCTAAAGCAACCTTTTAAAATGCTTGTTTGAAACAAATCAAACCACTGTTATTATGAGGTCATACCTCCAGCAATCATTACTAAACCAATGTTAAAATACTTTGCTTCCTGTTTTCACAACTAATGGTGCTAGGTAACTTCTATTAAGTCCCCAGAACTTGCTGTAGTCAAGGTCATTATGGACTGAGAGATTTCTTCTCTGAATAGCTCTGTCAAGTAAAGATAAGGGAAATGGGAGTGAGCTGGAATTTAAAAAACAAAAACAACAACAAAAAAACCTACTCCTCTTTTAGGGAGTGATTTTTTTTTCTTTCTTTTTTTTTTGGTGATACAAGGATTGAACCCAAGACAAGGGTTGACTTTGAGAGGGTCAGTTTACCTTGTATTTAGACGTGGATTTTCTTTAAATTTTTTTCTTTTTTTAGTTGTATTTGGACACAATACCTTTTTATTTATTTTATGTGGTGCTGAGGATTGAACATAGTGTCTCACATGTGCTAAGTGAGTGCTCTACCACTGAGCCACAGCCCCTACTTTTTTTTTTTTTTTTTAAATCTCCAAAACAAAGTAGTCCTTCTTCTGGAATTTATTTAAACTCAAGGGTGCTTAACCGCTGAGTCATATTCCCAGCTCTTTTTATTTTAAGACAGGGTCTCTTGGGGCTGGGGATGTGGCTCAAGCGGTAGGGCGCTCGCCTGGCATGCGTGCGGCCCGGGTTCCATCCTCAGTACCACATACAAACAAAGATGTTGTGTCCGCCAAGAACTAAAAAATAAATATTAAAATTCTCAAAAAAAAAAAAAAGAAAAAAAAAAGACAGGGTCTCACTAAGTTGCTGAGGCTGGCTTTTAACTTGTGATCATCCTGCTTCAGCCTCCATAGCTGCTGGGATTACAGGCATGCACCACCTAGCTGGCTCTCTCATTTCTATTTGTTACAGTCTTTCAGCATTTCTTGGCCCTCTCATTGTTGATAAACACATAGGCTTCAGACCTAGTTCATATTATTCTTATTTCCACTGTAACAAAAATCCAAGTGTGTGTGTGTGTGTGTGTGGGAGGGATATATATATATATCTGGCTTTAGTGTTGGGAACAAACACTTCTCTGGGGACAAAGCAGACTGGAGAAAGGCAAAAGCTACAGCCTAGAGTTGCTTTCACCATATGAGAATGCAGGCTTAGCACTTCCAGACCTCCAAATTGAAAGTCAAGGATGGCTCCATGACTCTGTCAGAGAAAGGATTAGCTTCAGGATGAGCAAATGAGGATTTCAGGTCTAGATGGTTCAAATCCAAAATGTTGTTGAGAACCAAGATTATCCAGATGTACAGGGTAGGGCACTTTGTCTTCCCCACTGCCATTCCTTGAGTACCTAGAGCAAGGCCTCCCCATAGCAACCACATAGGCTCTCTGAATCCTTCATACCTGTCTTTTTGCTTCAGTCACAGAATTATTTGTTGAACTGAATTATAAAAACTGAGTAATAGAATGGCTTACAAGTTGGTTGGAAAATGGAGGTATAGTTTTCTTAATTGCTTCTTGCTTTTCCTTTGCCCTAAAAACTGAGAGGAGGTAATAGACAAAGATCGACTGGTAATTGCAAAGACAGAAAACTGCCTTGCAGCATGTGTGAGTTCCCTCTGATTTATGTGCATTGGAGGAGATGTCTCCTTCACACCTTCTGTACTGAAAACCTTCAGGCTGATCATTTGTTTTGGCTCTTCTAAGCAGTAAAGGATTTTGGCTGGGAAATGAAACTGGAGGTACCTCAAGGATGATTAGATCTGAATGAACATCTGTAGGCCCAGGATTACTTTGAGAATTTATGATGCTATAGAAAGAGATTCAGAGAGACAGACTAACCAGGGTGTTAACAGAGGTTATTGTTGAATGATTTCTTTTTTTAAATCTACATTTTCTAATTTACCTAGTTTAAAAGACTAAATTTTTTCAAAAATATGTTCAACTTTTCTTTTTAAATTACTTTATTAATATAAATCACATACTATAAATTGACACTTTTAAAGTGTATGTTCAGAGACCTGTGCAGCCATCACCACCCTCAGTTCTACCTTTGTACGAAAAGACTACACTTTGTTTATTCATTGCCAACACACACACACACACACACACACACACACACACACACACACACACCCACCAAGGATTGAACCCTGGGGCGCTTAACCACTGAGCTGCCCCCCCTCCCCAGCCCTTTTTTGTATTTTATGTAGAGACAGAGTTTCACTAAGTTGCTAAGGCTGGGTTTGAACCCGAGATCCTCCTGCCTCAGTCTCCCAAGCTGCTGGGATTACAGGTGTGTACCATCACATCCAAGTGTTTATCCATTCTTGAGTCGATGGACATTTGGGTTGTTAGTACTTTTTTTGTTTTCTACAAATATTCTCGTATAAGTCTGCACATACATGTATATTTTCAGTAATCTTTGGTGTATATCTAAGAGTTTCTGGGTCATATGGTAACTCTTTAGGTTTGACTTCTTTTGTATTTTTGAGGGATTTAACCCAGGGGTGCTTTACCACTAAGCTACATTCCCAGTATGCGCGTGCGCGCACACACAGGCACACACACACACACCGCCTTTTTTTGTAGTTGTAGATGGACAGCATACCTTTATTTCATTTGCTAATTTTTGTATGTAGTGCTAAGGCTCGAACCCAGTGCCTCACACATGCTAGGCAAGCACTCTGCCACTAAGCCACAGCCTCCACAGCCCTTTACTTAATCTTTTATTTGAGGCAGGGTCTTCATCAGTTGCTTGGCTGGCCTCAAATTTGTGGTCCTCTTGTTTCAGCTTCCTGAGCTGCTAGGATTACAGATACGCACTACAATGCCCATATATACTTAACTTCTTGAGAAATTGTCAAATTGTTTTCCACAGTGGCTACACTATTGCCACCAGCAGGGTATGGAGCCTGATTTCTCCACATTGTCCCTAATGCTTGTTAATGTCCTTCATTTTGATTATAGCCATTTTAGGGGGTATAAAGTAGTTTTCATTTATTATATGTAGTTATTGGAAAACAAAACATCCTGTGTAGACTAATTCTGCTCCTCAAAACAAACATACTTTTTTTCTTCCCAGCTGAAACAGAACCTCATGAGGGAAAGAGAAAAGTGGAATCTCTGTGGCCCATCTTCAGGATCCACCACCAGAAAACCCGCTATATCTTTGATCTCTTTTATAAGCGGAAAGCCATAAGCAGAGGTAATTGGCTAAATTCTCTCTTGACCCTTTGAACTTTCAGAATTAAGTAATGATTCTCATGCTTGTAGCCTCAGCAAGCACCATGAGTTGTTTTTTTTTTTTTTAATCACTAAAAATGGGCAAATTTTTCTTTTTAATCAAGGGTGGAGGCAGGTTTGTTACACCATGGTCTGATATCCTTTCCCAATCTTTTGACAGAACTCTATGAATATTGTATTAAAGAAGGTTATGCAGACAAAAACTTGATTGCAAAGTGGAAAAAGCAGGGATATGAGAACTTGTGTTGTCTGCGGTGCATTCAGACTCGGGACACCAATTTTGGAACTAACTGCATTTGCCGGGTTCCTAAAAGCAAGCTGGAAGTGGTAATGCCTGATTATTGAATTTGACATTGTTTTCACTTCAAAACTCTGCTCTAATTGACTCCAGGGGTGCTTACAGCATTTGGTTTGGCTGGAATGCAGTTTTGTCACTGGAATCCTGCTGGCCATCCCTCCCAGGAATAAGTTCCCTGTTCAGGGATGGGGCTTAGAAATCTTGTTAAGTCTGGAGCCAGTCTCAACTTTGGGCAAGTAACAATCCCTTTCCTTATTTAGGAAGTGGTGGTGCAATACCTACCTCTGAGGTAGTGAGAAACAATATTAGGAAAGGATGGCTGGTCAGTAGGAGTTCCTGTCCCTTTCCCTTCAATCCACTTTAATGTCACCACTTATTTCTTATCAGAACTTTCTGTTTGACAGCTAGGCAGGGCACCTCAGGAATGGTGCTGTGTGTGTAATAATAGGACCTGAGCTCCTCTTAAATGAAGCTGCAGAAAAAGGCAGGCATTAGATATTGGCACTTACCAATTAAGTAGTCATGTCCTGTAGCCCCTTGGCCAAGTTATTGGCTCAGCTAGAGGTCAGGCCAGATGGCCCAGCTTGTCCTTTTTTCCTCCTAGCTTCCCACAGGCGCCTTATTCCATGGTATTTTTTATGCTGCAGTGAGTTCCTAGAGCTTTGGCTCAGTACTGAGGGCTGTAACGCAGTGGCTAGCTCTGCCTGCACCATGTGGAAGCTCATGCATGGGCATACTCAGCAGTGGGAAGGGCTAGCTCTGGAGGGAAGGCTATGTTGTGAGCATGATGAAGGCAGGGGTGGCAGAGCAGCAGAAGTCTGTCTTCTGAGTGCCCCAAGATTCCACAGGAGTGTTGTGACAGAGGTACTGCGTCAACCTAGCAAAGGCTACCTTCAACTTGGCTGAGTTTCAGCAGAGGATTTTGTTTGCTTAGACTAAACTCTGTTCCTCAAAAAAAAAACTGGAAAAATAAAATTAACATAAACCACTGCTCTAGGGCCTTTAGTCTGCTGACCCCAGTCAGCCACTGGGCATTTGGGATAAGACTGTTGTAAGCCACAGAAACTCAAGTGTATACCTTTCTGCCCCAGTGTCCTAGCAGAGAGGAGCCTTGAGACCCCTGGCATGAGCCCTCTGAGCAGTGGCACCTGCCTCAGCTCACTGGTGGAGTAATGAGACTCATCCACACAGATTTTTTTCCTTTTTTCGACAATTGTGTATGTTGAATTTATGTATTAAATGCACACAAATATAACTTCAGTGTGAAGAGTAGCATTTCCCATTTTCATGAGGGAACTGAAGTTCCTCTGTCCAGAACTAATCCAGCAAAGGTTTCTGAGATGTGTTCTGCAGGAAATACACTGTTGGCACCCTTCTTAGCCAGAGGGTCGGGGTATATGGGTGTGTGACCAGGTGCAGTAGCTTAGCTGTGCTCTGTTGCAGGGCCGCATCATCGAGTGTACACACTGTGGCTGTCGGGGCTGCTCTGGCTGAGGCCATAGGCCTGGCCCCTCTCCACCCTGGACTTCAGACTTTGCAGGCTTCTGCATATCCTGCCACGGCTTCTTGGGAGCAGCTCTTCTCAGCAGTGCCTCAGGCGTGAGTTGGAGCACCTCTATAGGTGAAGGCTTTGGTTTTCACCTGATGTGATTTATAAAAATAAAACGTTGAAACCTCTTGGGCCTTATGTCCATTCTTTGAGAGTAACAAACTGGAACCTGGTAGGAAAATGCCAGGCCCCAGGGAACCTCTATGCTTAGTCCTGGCTCCACCTCATACGTACTGTATGACCACAAGTCACCCAGCAATGATGGGCTGACAGTCTCTCAGGTGAAACTGATCTGAGATGATGTGCAAAGATTGCTCTTGGACCTGCTGTGGCAGGTGCTCTTGGGCACCCTGGGCCCAGTGTTTGTCCTCATATCTGTACCCATAAAATGCTGCATTTCCAACTCAAGGAAGGTGACACCAGCATGTTTGCTTGTCTTTATCATGGAAAGGACTCCTGGGACTCCCATCAGGCACCAAGGTCCAGGCACTTTGTTCTAGCTGTGCATTCTGTTACCTGCCCCCAAGGACTTCGTCCACACCAGCATCCCTGATAGTGTCTCTTTTGGACTTGGTCCGGAACTCCTGCCAGGGGTGGGGGGTTTCCTCTGCTGGCATCACTTTCAGCCACTGCTTATAATAAGCTCGGAAGCCATCGATCTTCTCCAAGTAAGTGTTCTTCCCTTTGTACTGTAATTGGAAAAGCATGGAATTCAGGGGAGTCCTGGTAATCAGAATCACTGTATATCGTCTACAGCTATTCTCATAACCCAGCAGCTGGCTCAGTCCTTGGGGAAGCTATCCCTACTGTTCTTGCTTCCAAGAGACTACAGGAGACAGAGAAGAATATAACATGAGCACTGCCACCATTAAGGAAGAAATTCCAGCCGGATATGGTGGCAGACACCTGTAATCTCAGTAACTCAGAGGCTGAGGCAAGAGGATCTTAAATTCAAAGCCAGCCTCAATAATTTAGCAAGGCCCTTAGCAACTTAGCCAAAAAAAGTCTAAAAATGAAAAGGGGCTGGGGATGTAACTCGGCAGTAAAGTGTTCCTGGGTTCAATCCCCGGGACCGACCATATATACATGCATACATACATAAGTTAATTCAAAGTAATTATATGTGGCAGGCCAGACCACTATCTGTCCAACAGTTATTTTTCTTCCTGAATGTGCACTGTACTGTTCCTCGATCCATAGATGTCACAGAGCCCCCACATGAATTGCTGGGTCCCACCAATTCTACCTTTTCCAGAGAGCCTCCGACTCCCTTCTGACCTATCACCTTGGGACTACTGCAGCCATCTCCACAGAGGGCTGATAAGAAAAGGAGAAACAAGATACACCAGGTACTGTAAGAACGTAGGGGATGGAGGACAAAATAGGCAAAAGAAAAGAATGATCAGAGATACAGAGCATTACCACATATGATATAAGGTCAGAAGCAGGAACAGCAATGATTAAGGAGACAATGAGCATTTCAGAGCTTGGTGCACATACCCTGTCAAAGGTGGGTGGGTACTCAGCTGCAAACTCTAGTTGGCGGATGACCACTTCATTCACCGGGACCCTGTTATGCTTCATGTCTTTCAGGATGTCAATGAGATAGGTGTAGTCCAGCTTCTTGAGGGCTGCATTGATGAGAGTGCTGTAGATGTGGGTGTTGGGGGTCATCTGGGATTTCTAGAACACCACGGATATCACACAATTAGAAAGATGATATTTGTTAGGACAGAACAGTCTGCTCTGGCTGTCTTGTGGCAGCTACTAGGAATGCAATATGGAATCTCATAGCAACAATAGGCTGTCCTCCCCCTCCAAAAGGAAGGCATGTGTTCTCCCTGAAGAACTAAGATAGCTGACAGGCAGAGAAAGAAGCAGGAGGCAACCACTTTCTCACTCATGGATGAGTTTTCTGGTGACAGACAAGTGTGGTCATCAGAATGTGGTGGTAAGCCTAGAAAAGCAGCCAGCATTGGCTGGGTGACACAACAGTGATTACAAACACCCCAGGAAGTGGCGCTCTGCTGTGATCAGGTAAAATCCATTTAGCAAGGTCCCTCTGCAGTGTCAGGTCCCAGACCTGTCCCCCACCTCTCCATCTTCCAGACAGGAATACCCTCTGCTTTCTGTACCAATTCTCACAGTGGCTCACCAAGATCAACTTACTCTAAAAAGGAGGCCAATGGCCATTCAGCAGCAGAAAGGAGCTATCCTACTTGCCGTGCCCCAGTGCAGAGGCCTGGGGCCCACAATTCCCTGGGACTCCCAATTCCCCCACAGATTTTCTTCCTGAGCACCCAAGTGTTCCCCAGAACCACAGGCACCCTACTTGGGCCTAAGTCCCCTCACCTTCATGTCTGCAAGCAGCTGTAGACCATCCCTGGGCCTACGACACCCAATGGCCAGGTTGCAGAACGTCTGTAGGTTGGGGATAATTCCCCTTTTTGCCAGGACTGGCAACAGCGCCTGTGAGGGCAGACATGTCATTGTAACCTGTGACTTATGACCCACCAACCCTGCTGAGGCCTTCCCATGAAGCCCTTGGCTGGATGCTGAAGACTACAAGGGCATAGCTCTACTCAGAGGCTTCATGGCTCCCTCTGCAGACAGCAAAGTGCCTCTGGCCCCAGATCAGCACTCTAGGTCCAAATAGTGCCCAGTTTTCCTTGCAGGACCCAGCTCCTCAGCATGTGCACCCTGACTGCCAGCCTACTGTCCCTTCTCCATGATTGCCCTTCATATCCTGCCTCCCACCTGCTGCCTCCAGCTTCTCAGCCAGCCAATCAGTCTGAGGACAAGCTGCCTCAGGGGCTCAAGATTCAGAGCAGGAGGCAACACTGCCTGCAGTGGGAAGTGCTGGCTGAGGGAGCGCCAGGCCTGGTATGAAGAGGAGGGTGTCCCCTCAGCCTGCCTGAGTCAGGATGGACCACTGGGGAAGGGCTCTGTCATGTTTAACTTGTCCTCTGTGGGCATGAAGGCAGAGGCAACATCTGTCACCTTTGACTCTCACAAATGCCCAGAGCAGTACTTCTGGCAAAAAAAATAACACAAAATCTCTTTATATGAATGGCCAAAACCCTGTCAAAAGCCCCAACACCTCCACCTGTTAAGCCATGCACATACAAGTCGTGCCTCCTGGTTTGCTCAGTAGAGAAATAAATAGATGTGACGCTCTGAGAAGTGTCCAGAGCGGAGGGAGTGCAGCCTTGCAGTGTGTAGGGTGAGGCCACTCGGGCTCCAGTGCCGGGCTGAGTGGCACTGCAGCCCTGTTTCCATCATATCCCCTTATCAAGGTGATGATGACATCTCCCTTCCCCACCAATCTGTGAGCTCCATGAAGATGGCAGGGGACAGCAGGGATGCACCTGGCTGGCTAGTGGCTCAATTTCCAGACTCACCCAGGGTCGAACCTAGAACAGGGTTCCAGATATAGATGAACCACATTCTACAGTCCAAGGGTCAAGAACAAAGAAAGAGTCCCTGACAGCCCAGAGCCTGCTCTGGAGACCCTCACCTTTGCCCCTTCCAGGTCTCCCAGCTTGCTCTTCTTCCTCATCAGTGTGTTGAAGAATGTCACATCAGCCTCCACCTGATGCCTGTCTAGGATGGTCAGCAGTGAGGACTCCGCAGGGCTCCCAGGCTTTACCACCTCAGCCAGCAGTGTGAGGGTTTTAATGTCGGGCTGGAGCCCGTGCTTTTCCATCTGGCCCAGGAAGCCCTCCAGGCCCCCTATCAAAGCTAGTCTGTCAGCAGGGGTGATCACTGTCCCAAAGGAGACCACAGCTGGGGAGACAGTTTCCAGGGTCAGGAGGTTGATCTCCAACTCCAAGGGAGATGGCTTCAGAGCCACTGGGGTAAGAACTGCTGTGTGGTCAGGCTCTGCCCTGGTTTCCACCTCAGATTGTGCCTTACAGGGCACTAGGGCCTCCCGAGGCTCTGGAAGTCCCTCAACTGCCTGAGAAGGTTCCAGAAACAGCTCCCTCTCCAGCGCCTCCACATGTACTCTGGTCATTACACCATCAATCACAGAAGAGCCTTTCTTCCCTGCCTGCCGCCTGCCTGGGGGCTGGAGCAGGACTGTCTCCTCTCTGGGTCTCAGGAGCAGCCTGGAGGCCACTTCTGGGTCCCCCAAGCCACAGTCCCGAGCTGCCCCTAACAGCAAGTTGTAGCCATGTTGGGTTGGCTTGAGTCCCAGACTCAGCATCTGCCTCCACACCTGTAGGAGGAGACAAACATGAGCTCAGTGTTCCCGCCTCCTAGTAGAGGTGGGCACTGGCAGCAAGCAGACATCAAAATCAGAAGACATAAGAAGGTTGGAGTGTAGCTCACTGGTACAGTGTTTGCCTAGCAAGCACAAGGCCTGGATTCCATCTCCAGCATCACCAAATTAAAAAAGAGCTTTGCACGTGTAATGCAACTTTAGTTTCTGCTCACGGGAGCCTGAGGCATGAAGATCACCTGAGACCAGAAGTTCAGAATTAGACTAGGCAACACAGTAAGACCACATCTCAAGAAAAATGTCTAACCTGACACCAGGCTCTGACAAATAAGAATCATCAGAATTCTGAAACTCCTTCCATGGGAGGCCTCACAGGGGCCTGCAATTCTTCTCTTTCGTCAAGTTCACCCCAAAATTGTTCTCGCAGTCTCATCCCTCTGCACATCGTTAGAGCCCCATACCTAAGGGAGAGATGGCAGAGAGGCTAGGTTCTGGAAGAGCCTAGCCTGACTTCTAAGGATAGGATCCAGCAGTAACTCCTGAGTGCCTGCTATATGCCCAACTCCTGACTTAAGGGTGCTGAGGCTAACAGAGAATTCTCTTGAGAGTCCAGCACAGGGCAACATGGAGCCAGATTCGGAGCCAGCAGATTGCAGGGGCTGGGTTCAGGCCAACTGCAGCTGAAGTCTTGCACCCTCATTAGTTGTGAACACTGAGTCTCCATCTGCTCATAGGACATATTATTTTCATCTCCACTCTATGACATCTAGTACATTCAGTGTGTGATCAACGGATGCAGCTCTATTCATATCTGGGTTGCTCTGACACATTTCTGCTTTGTGGGCTTAGCAGGAATCTACCCTCAACCTGGGGTTAGGGCATATGTCTGACACCCTGCCCTCCTGAGAGATGAGTGTGCAGATGTGGAGGAACAGGTTAGACCCTAGCTCGGTGAGTCTTGCAAGAGGGCCACTGCCCACCACAGCAGGGCCTTGAAGAGATCCAGAATCTTGGCAGACATACCCAACAAGGAATGGCTGACAGATGGAGATTTAAGGGACACATACACCATCCTATGGCAGTTGGGATTCAGGGTCTAGTGTCAAATAAAATGTCAGTTAAAGGCCCAGCTTTTAGTGGCCGTAGCACCTCAGGCAGGTACTAACTTTTGTGAGCCTCAGTTCCCTCACCTGAAAAATGGGGCTAACAGTGTCTAGCAGAAGCAGTTCACCAGAGTGTAACACAAATAGGCCACTGCTACAATAGATTACTTCTAAGAAGAACAGATCAGTTCAAGGAATGAGAGGAACTACCTATATCCATGATGGCCAGCTAGCCACTACTTCTAAGGGTTCTGCATCGGGGATGGGAGCATCTGACCCCAGACTGTTCCTTGTAAGGGCACTCAGACTCTGTGCAAGGAGTTTGCTGAAATGCAGATTTGGACACAGGAAGTTTAGATGGGGCTGCTGCTGCTTGTCTATGGAGCATACTTTAGGACAGTGTGACTTCAGAAGTAGCTGTGCACCAGCACTGACACCAGCTTCCCACATGATGAGGAAAATTATCTCTGGGGGCTGAACTGGAATTAGAGCTGCAGGTTTGACTTTGGGATGAAGTACACATTTCTGGGTCACACCTGCAGATGCTGAGTGGAGAGAGGGGATGTGGAGTGGGCTATAGGCAGTCAGGGACCATGAGCTAAAGGGGCCTGGGCTGGCCATCCAGCACAGTGGGAGAGGTATGGGCTGGCTGTGCCCTCACTTGAGGACCAGCCCTGGTGTCTCCATGGACCTCATCTCCTGAGCACCTGTAAAATGAGAGCAGTGAGCCTCACAATGGCTGCTGAGAAAGACAAAATATGGCAAATATAAAAATGCTTGGCATAAGGCAGTAGAGTAGCAAAAACTCAGGAAATGCACAAAGGATCATTGTTTTGCACTCCTGGTGCAGGTGCACAGGGGAAGGAGGGCAGGAAGGCAGGGTGGAAGGGGCAGACCTGCAGGGCGAGTCGGAAGCCTATCTTCTTGTCCTGGATGCAGCCCATGAGCAGGAAACTAAAGGTCTCTTCTGTAACAGCATGCCCCTTGTAGATGATTTCCTGGGAGGGAATAAGGTGGTTCCATTGAGAATCTGCAACAGGATCCAGGCCCAGGTGCCTGGCCCACTAGGCCAGAACCAGGCTCATGTGTCTTAATGAGCTAAGTGAACAAATATGGCACTTGGGGCCAGCTTGGAACCAGCTCCTGAGCCAAACATCCACCTGCCAGTGAGTGTGGGCAGCACCTCTGCATAGACCACACCCTAGCAGCCATGTTTGGCCCCTGGCCTTGAAGCCCTGGCCTCAATGTCCCAGCTCTATCATCAGCCAGCTGTGACCATGAGGGCAAGGCCCCCAGCTCTCTGGCCTTGGTTTCCTCATCTGTGAAAGGACAGGTCTTCTAGAATCTTTGGAACAACCCCACCACCATGTTGTGCTGCAGTGTGTCTAGTTCCCACTGACCCCTTGGTGTGTCAGGTTTGGCTCTCCCCTCCTTGAGATGTCCCTTCCACCTCTCAGTACCTCAAGCCCCTACTCTGGCCCTCCAGTCAGTACAGGGGCTCCCCACCCCACGACTGGTGGCTTCCTGCCCCCCCACCCTGCCCCACAGCCTACCATTGTCTCTGCCTCCAACCTGTCCTGATGGAACTGGGCCCAAAAGGGAGAAACAGGGAGGGGGCTGTCCCACCTTGAACACATCAAGGCACATCCTGAGGTCTGAGCACTTGGCAGCCATCTTCAGCAGAGCATGGTATGTCTTCAGGTTGAACTGGACATTTTTAGCCTGGAGCTGCTGTCGTAGTTTCAGGGCACTCTGAAGGGCAGAGTCCTTCCAGGGTGACTCGGCACAGACATTGAACAGGGCTGTATATGTGGCATCTGAGGGCTCTAAATCCCGTTTTTTCATCTGTTGAAGTGAAAGAAATGTAAGATGTAGTACCAGGATCAGTTGGACACAGAGAAAAGCAGTTACCCTAGAGAGGTAATATTACTATAGTCCACTGACCTGAGGGCTAAGGCTGAGCCAAGGGACATTTCAAAGGGCTAAGGCTGAACCAAGGGACATTTACATATCTAAACCCAACTCTACAGAGGGACTCTGGAAACTGAAGACTTCACCCCAGAAATTCCAATGAGAAATCATTCTCGCTGAGCACCTGGTCACTTGTCAAGACTGCTCTGGGCCTGGGGTGTTTGCAGCAGGGGTCTTCCAATCCCTAACCTCAACCAGATCACCCTGATTGGCAAAGGGCCACAGGGTGGATCTGTCTGGGAAAAGAAGCACAGTGCTCACTAACTAAGGGGTCACGGGCAAGTGAGTTTTCCTTGCAGAACTGGGAATGAAACCATCATCCTAAAAGAGATGCAGGGGCTGGTAGGAGAGTATAGGTAAGTGATCTTGGGTGGCTCCCCACCCATTTGCAGCAGCCAACAGCAATACACACTCTTAAGACTATCCAACATCTATGTCACACTCTGGGAATGAGGGACCTATAAAGCCTCCAGGTGGCTGAGGAGGACACTGGAGTCAGAGCCTACTAGTAAAGCCAAGCACTCACTATTGCCTGGAGAAGGTTATCTGACCAATGGGGCAGGTGACCAGCTGCTGAGGCACTGAAAAGAGCCCTACTAGAGTCAGATCATTTGGGGCTCAAATCCCAGTTCCAATGCTCTCCTACAGGGCAACCATGGACATGTCCATTCTTCTCTGAGCCTCAATTTCCTTATCCGAAAAGTGCAGGTGGGCTGTGTGTGATAATAAACACCTGTAATTCAGCTAACGGAGTCTGACGCAAGAGAAGTGCAAGTTCAAGGACAGCCTGGGCAACTTAGTGAATAAAATAAAAAATAAGGAGTTGTATTTGTGGCTCAGTGGTAGAGCACTTGCCTAGCACACGTGAGGCACTGGGTTCAATCCTCACAACCACGTAAAAATAAATAAAATAAAGTTATGGTGTCAATATACAACTAAAAAGTTTTTTTAATTAAAAAAATAAGAAGGGCTGAGGATATAACTCAGTGGCAAGCTGCTTTTTCCAAAAAAGTACTTTTTTCAAAAAAAAAAAGGGGGGGGGGAGGAATGCAGATGATAATCTGTTCTTAGAGGAAGATGTACACTCTGTGTTTATCATGTATTTGACAGGTGTGAACAAAAGACTTGCTTCATGTCCTCAGTGGGAACCAGTAGTGATCAGAGCAAGCAGAGCCTATCCTCATTAAGCATTCATTAGAAAAAGAAAAATAAATGGCAGATGATCAAGTACTCACATGCAGTCCTAAATGCTGTGAAGGATACCCAGAAAACAGGGTGAAAAGGGAAAAAGTATAAGAAAACACTGGAGAGACCTAGCAAACACCACTTTCACCAAGTGACCAAGGTTCAAGTCATCAGTAATAAGATGCGTTGATGCATGTGCACCCTGACATGAAAGGGCACTAACCTCTGCGATAGACTTTTCCCACACCCCAACTCCTATCTTAAGAGAAAGCACCAGCCAAACACACTGATGGGTCTGTACCAGACCTGACCAGTGCTCTCCAAAACTGTCATGGTTGTGAAAAACAGGGAAGACTCATAAAATGTCACAGACTGCAGGAACTAGTGCCAGTCTGAAAGCCCAGAATGCACACAGGAATAGAATGAATGGAAAAACTGGTGAAATCCAAATAAAGTCTGGAATTTAGATCCCAGCCATGCACTGATATTGAGTGTTTTCTTTTGACGAATGTAGTATGGTACTATATGATGTCAATATGGCAAAAATTGGGTGAAAGGTATGTGGGAACTTTCTATACCGTCTCTGCAACTTTTTTTTTTAAAGAGAGAGAGAGAGAGAGAGAGAATTTTTTAATATTTCTTTTTTAGTTTTCGGCGGACACAACATCTTTGTTTGTATGTGGTGCTGAGGATCAAACCCAGGCCGCACACATGCCAGGCGAGCGTGCTACTGCTTGAGCCACATCCCCAGCCCTCTGCAACTTTTTTAATAAAGCTAAAATTATTTTAAAATAAAATGGCTATTTAAAAAATGCCTGTAATTCCAGTGACTGGAAGGCTGAGACAGGAGGATTATAAGTTTGAGACTAGTCTGAGCAACTTAGTGAGACCCTTCTCAAAATGAAAAATAAGAAAGGGCTGGGAATGTAACTCAAAGGTAAAGTGCCCCTTGGTTTAATCCTAAGGACTACACAAATACATAAAAAAGTAAACATAAAATACTAATTAGAATACATCTATAATCTCAACAACTTGGGAGGCTGAGGCAGGAAGACCACAAATTCAAGGTTAGCCTGGATAACTTAGTGAAAACCTGTCTCCAAATAAAAAGCATTTGAGGGCTGGGGATATAACTCAGTTGGTAAGTGCTTGCCTCACATGCACTTTAGGCCTTGGGTTCAATCCTCAGTACCACACACACATCAATAAGAACAACAACAGGCAACAAAGGATAGAGAATGACAAAGGCTAAATAGAGAAGCCCGGCTTCACTAAGGTGGTGATAAGTAGGGCAATCACTTAAGAATTCTGCAGATGTAAAGGAGAATTGCTACTGAATGGGTGACCAACTTCCCCCTTTTCTCCTTGCCCATTAGCTGGCATGTGAACTATTTTCTGCCAACTAGTTGGCCAGGGAAGCCTCCTGTCTTCCTGTGCCATGACTATTTATTAGGTCTTTATTTATTCTGCAGTACTGGAGATTGAACACAAGGGCACTTCTATCTCTGAGCTACATACCAGACCTTTTTATTTTGAGCAGGGTCCCTAAGTCTATGTAGGTCTTTTAAAAGCTGTCATGCTATTCTACCATTTGTAAGTGCAATGACTCCCCCTTGCTTCCAGCTATAGATCATTGGACCTGGAGTGACAGGAAGACTAAAATCCCCAGAAGCCCCTGCTGGGTAAAGGACCCCCAACCTTCTGGCATCAGTAGACAGGCTGTCTCCGACAGATCTACCGACCTCCCCAGGAAGCCTTTCTTGACTCATGAAGGAAATAGCTTCCCAATGATGACACACCAAAGAGGTAAATGAATGGAAAGTAAAGTGATCTTCCAGAAGGAATAAAAGTACTTTCTCATGTGGAAGCCAGTGCATGTGGGTGCCATATGCAGGGGATAAAAAACAACATGAACCAGGAACAGTAGCAGAAAAGGAAGGAGCTGTGTGGGCCCATGGTGGCCCAGGTGGATGCTGAAGGTGTCATCTCAATTAATACCCAAGATCACCTTCGTTTTATAGATGATAACTCTGCCACCAGGGAGCTTAAGTCCTCCACCCAGAGTAAAGCACCAGCAAGTGGCACACTCAGGATCTGTACCCAGCCTTATGGTCCCAAAACCCATATTCTCTAGAGCATGTGGCACACTTACATCATTGTAGAGCCCGAAGGCTTTCTTCAGGTAGCCAGCCCGCCCGCAGCCCCCAATCAGCACCGTGTAGTTGTACTCGAGTGGCTGCAGTCGCTCCTCCTTTAGCATCTGCCTCTCAAATAAGTCCAGGGCTTCAGCCAGCTGGCAGGAAAGGGAGACAAAGTGAGGATGAGACAAGGGCTTAGGATGGCCTCAGAGACCCTCAGTAGAGGGAGGGAGGAACCGTCCTGACATGGTGCAGGGCAGCAGCTCTGGGTGACTATAAACCTCCACAGACCACAGTTGCTTTAGCCTCATCTCTACTCCCTATTCTACTCCCCGGTTCAATCCTTGGTTCACAGGGAGGGATGTGGCTTCATAGTAGAGCATTTGCCTGGTTATGTATGAGGCCCTGGGTTTGATCCTCCAACACCAAAAAAGATTATACATACACACATATGTATATATTTTTAAATCCTCAGTTCACTACTTCACCCTTTAATTACTTTCATCTGTTAATTCAAATAATTACTGAGTCCTATCTATTATAAGCCTAGCAAAATCTATTCACTGGCTGTGAAGAAGAAGCTCCTCCCTCATGAAGTCATGTTGTAGTTGGAAAGACAGACCACAAAGTACAGTAATGAAGAAATACATATGTATTTATGAACAAAAATTAAAGCAGGGAATACTGGAAGAAAGGTACATGGGATTCATCTTTAGGAGCCAGGTGGCGCATAAACAAAGACCTGAAGAAGATAGGGGAGAGAGCCAGGAGGCTCTCTGAGGGAACAGTCAGTGCAAAGGAGTGGGCCTGGAAGATGAATGAGAAGTTGGGGTGCTGAGGTGAATGAAACAAAGTAAGAGATGAGGGTAGAGAGATAATGGAGGAGTGGAGGATGAGGGTGGCAGATCTTGCAGGCTCCAAAAAAAAAAAAAAAAAAAAAGCCACGTGGAGACTTTGGCTTCTCTTTATTTCTTAACTTTTCATCCGAATGTACACAAAAGCAAGGAGAACAGTATAACTACAACTGTAAATATCTAGCCAATCCTGTTTCACCTGTAGCACCTGTAGCTTGCATGCCCCCTCCAAATACTATGTTTAAAGCAAATCTCAGTGATCCTCTCAGTTCATCCATAAGAACTTCAGCACATACCTCCAAGAGACTTTTAAACACAAAGTAATATCATTATCATTCCCCACAAAAATAACCTTTTTTCTCTTTTTTTTTTTTTTTTTTTGGTGCTGGGGATTAGACTCAGGGCCTCAAGCATGTTAGGCAAATTCTCTACCACTAAACTACACCCCAACATAAATGCCACTGAATACACTGGGAATTTGGGGGAAATGATTAACCCAATCTGCCTTCTGTTTAACATGACAGCTCTGTGCTGTGATTGACAGCATGGCAGGAAGTGACCAGAGCAACAAGTGTTAAGTGTTCTAATAGCTGAGAAGGGCAAAGAGAAGGCCTTTCAAGAGTGGGGCTGTGAGAAGTACTTAGGGCTAGCGACAGGCTGAGGGTAGAGTTGGTAAGAGAAAGAGAAGAATGAAGCATGACCTAAGGAAGTTTGGCCTTGGCAATGGAATGACAGGATTGCCATGAAGTGAGGTGAAGTGTGGGAAAACAGACTTGAATCTGTACAGGTGCCTGTGTGGATAAGCACAGGGAGATGACAAGGAGGAAAACCAATACACTGATCAGAGTCCATGGGAAGAACACAGCTGGAGATATACACCAGCTAGGGAACGTCAATGCCATGAGACTGATGGGTCAGCAGGGTAAATGATGCCAGGGAAGAAAAAGGGCCCATGGACCAAACACTGAGCATCTCAACATGTATTGTGGGGAAGGCTGGGTGGCCCACCACAATATACTGAGCTGCAGGAAAGCCAAATCCCAAGGTTCCTCACCTTTCCTTCCCTGATTAGGCGTTTACACTGAAGGAAGTACCAATATGGGGTGTTTCTTGGGCCCTGCCATGATTTTGGTTCCAGTTCCCCTTCTTCATCTTCCTCAATATTCTGTTCCCTGAGTCGTAGGTCATACAACTGGGGTGTTGATTTGTGGAATATCTTCCGGGAGGAGTATTTATTAGAGAGGGTTCCAAAGCTCTCCTCTTCTTCTTGAGGGCCTGTGGAGCTGGGCTGGCTTGGGTCAGAGTGGAGGCTGCTCATATTCTTCTGGCTCCCAGATTCAAAGGCAGCTGACAAAGGGGAGCTGCTGAAGGCGGCTAAGGCTGGCTGAGTTGGCCCCACAGCCCTCAGCCACACAAGCCCCTCCCTGCCTCCTGTCCACTGGGCTCCAAGAAAGTCAAAGTGCTGGAGGCCCAAGAGCCCCAAGGGGCGGGCCCAAGAGAATAGGCGGACAAGTCTCACGGGGTCCATCTCTGTCTTTTCTGTCCCACCAAGGCCTGGAATACATCAGGGAAAAAAAGAAGTCAACTCAAAATCATAGTCATCAAAGACAGAAGGAGGACAGAGAAGTGGTTAAAGTGGGCCCTGAGGTTAGATTCTAGCACTGTCAAACAACTATCCATATGCCCCTGGGCACTCACTGCTCCAACATCAGTGTCACCTCTAAACTGAGATTAACAAGGTTACCCACACAGCACTGTAGCAACAGGTGAGATCACGATGCATTAGATCAGCTTGGGAGGCTGAGGCAAGAAGACTGTGAGTTCAAAGCCAGCTTCAGCAACTTAGAGAGGCCCTAAGTAACTCAGTGAGACCCTGCCTCTAAATAAAACACAAAAATGGGATGTGGCTCAGAGGTTAAGTGCCCCTGGGTTCAAACTCTTATACGAAGCATGTAGCACAGTGCTGGCATTGTCAACACTTATTAGATAATAAGCTATTGGTATTGTCAAATCATGATCTATGAACATGGACACTAAAGTCAGAGCCAAGTTAGAGTCCTAGAACCTGTTACTTGACCTTCCTGTGCCTTGATAGCTTCAACTGTAAAATGAAATTACATGAGATGCTTTTAGTACAATGCCTGGCATTTAAGAGGTATTCAAAACCTGTAGTTATTGGGGTGGGGTTGTGGCTAAGTGGTGGAACACTCACCTAGCATAGGTAAGGCACTGGGTTCAATCCACAGCACCGCATAAAGATAAATAAATAAAGGTATTGTGTCCTTCTACAACTAAAATATATATATATATATATATATATATAATATATATATATAAAAGCTGTAGTTACTAACACTTATTAGGAAAAATTTGTTGTTGGCATTCTAGGCCTCTGCAAAAGGAATCTAACTCAAGTGTTTCTTTTATGGAAAACTCGTGGACAAATAGGGAAGAGCTGTGCTGTCCAAGACAACAGCCACTGTGGCATGTGGCTACCGAGCACTTGCAGTGTGACCAGTCTGAAAGGTGATATGGCTTTAAGTGTAAAATGCACATTGGATTTCAAAGTCTTTTTTACAAAAAAACTAGAATCTAAAATACACATTAATAACTTTTAAAAGTCCTGAAATATTTCAGCTACGCTGGGCTAAGTGAAATATATTATTAACATTCATTTCAAAGTTTCTTTTAATTTAATGTGACCATTTGAAAATTTAAAATTACTTATGTGTTTGATATATATATATATATATATATATATATATTGTGTGGGTATATATTATGTGTGTGTGTGTGTGCTTAACCACAGAGTCACATCTCCAGCCCTTTTTTATGTTGTTTAAAGACAGAGAGGGTCTCGCTGAGTTGCTTAAGGCCTCCCTAAATTGCTGAGGCTGGCTTTGAATTCAGGCTCCTCCTGTCTCAGCTTCCAGAGGTACTGAGATTACAGGCTTGTGCTAATGTGCTGGGCCTTGCATTTTATTTCTTTTAGACAGTACTGAGCTAGAGATTTCAGCGTGCATACTTTAAATCCTTTAATTTAAAAAAATCAGAATAACCAGCTAACAGCAGGAAAATATTTTAAGGTATGGCTGTATTGGATGGTTGCCAATGAAAAGACCTCGGAGGTGATAGAAGGTTGAACAGATGAGTGACCAAGACGAGGTAAGGAAGAGATTTGCTGAGGTCCTGCAGCAGTACTATAGCAATACATACACATTCAGGCTGCGCTAGTATATGTGCTTCTCTTCTCGTTCGATGTATTAAATAGCGATATCCTGTCATAATTTCAAGGCGGAAACGAGTGTAAACGGTAGATCGAGGTGCCGCAGATGCGGCTCGAACACTCATCTCCGCCTGAAATACCAGGCGCTGCTAACGCAGAAATGCCCACTTTCACACAGAGAAAATAAAGGAATTTTCTTACCAGGTCTGAAATCCTGAATTAGAGACTCCCAGCGCCGTTCCCCCTTGGAGGGACCCGCTGGACCCCAGATGCGCTCCGGGACCCTCGGGCCAACCCTGACCCCTCTCCACCCGCCTTTAGAGCCCGGTCTCCTCCCACGACGCACAGGCCAGGCTCAGGCTCCGCCGGGTCCGGGGACTCCTGCGAGGAGCGAACAGGAACTCACTCGAACCTTCCAGCGAAGTGAACGCCGCCCTGGCCTCCACGTCCCCGAGTCCACTCCCCGCGGCGCCCTCAGGGTCACCCTCTCCGCGATGCGTGCCTCAACCCGGCCACGCGCAGGCGCAAGCACATTCCGCGTCGCGAACTCGCGCGCGGGCCGAAGCAGGCGTTCGGCTGGCGGCTAGGCGAGCCTGGCGGAGCGGCGGCACTCTGCGCTCTATTGGCCGGGTCTGGACAGGCGAAAGGGCCGGCG